GGAGAAACAATTGTCACTCCTGGTAAGAACAGGAAGAGGCACGGTTTTCACTGACTTCTGGTAAGAGCAGGGGGGAAGCATGAGGGTCAGGGACTTGCTGGGATTCACACAGTGGAATAATGTGAGAGTGGAGATCCAAAATGCATTTTGGATATTAAAACCTGTAGGTTTTCTCAGCCGAGTAAATAAAGTCATTATTATAAGGTGCCAACTGGTTACAGAAGTTCAATCACTTGTACCTGTAAGACCTCAGGGGTGCAATAGTCACTGCCTCCCTTTCCTGGAGCTGACATTCTGGAGATGAAGTGATGAGTGCCATGGAAGAAAGAAACTGTGGTGATGTGATAGAGCAACTCATAGGTTGGTCAGATGAGCTCCAAAAATGAAGCAGCTGTAAGCCACTCCATTTATGGCATAAGGCTCTTCATCTTGACTGTTCAGTGACCTCTGCTGGAACCACCCCATTCTGGGACCCAGCCAGAAGGAACTGGAGGATACAATGGCTCCTGGGGCTAAACCCTAAATGGACAGAAGCTGGAACACTACTAGGCATCAGTCAATAGCACACCAGGGTAACAGTCTCCCCTCCTACCCTACATCTTGTTCTGTGGGCTGATACCTACCGAGTCTTAGTCACCTTCACGAAGGCACCAAATAAACTTTAGCTGTTGCTCTCTATCCGGCTGTGTGACTTGATGGAGTGACGCTACCTTACATTGGTCCATAGTGGCCTTGTCAGATGACAGTGCTGAGGCTGGAAAGTTGAGAAAAACCTCTCTTATGAGGAGCTGGAGGTAAAGTGTACTAAAGAGAGGGAAGAGCAACTGAAAAGGGTCTGAAACAAGACCAGGACAACGTCCTTGCTGGTGTAAAGAGGGACACATGATACAGGCTGAACTGTGTTCCTCAAAGTTCATATGTTGAAGTCTTAACTTCCAGTACCTCAGATGGGGCCTTTACAGGGGTGATTAAGTTAAATGAGGCCCTTGGTGTGGGTCCTGATCCCATCTGACTGATGTCCTTATAAGAAGAGGGAACTTGGATATAGAGAGACCCCAGGGGTGTGCATGCACAAAGGAAAGGCATCTGCAAGCTGAGGAGAGAGGCCCCAGGAGAAATCAAACGTGCTAACACCTCCATCTTGGACTTGTGGCTTCCAGAACTGTGCAAAAATTAATTTCTGCAGTATAAGCAAACCAGTCTGTAGTGTTCTGTTATGATTACCGTAGCAAACTAATATACCACATAATTAGCTGTATATTACAGTTGTGATAAGAACCCTCTAAGAAAAGGAGGAGGTCCATGGGAGAGTAATTAAACCATTCTGGCCTGGCAAAGAGAAGGACTTTCCCAGAGGTGTGACATTTAAGCCAAGAATTGAAAGGAGAGGACTTATTCTGGGGAAAAGAGCTTCTAGACTTCACAGTGTTGTGCTGATATTACCACCATCCATCCATAAAACTCTTCATCTTATGAAATTAAAACTCTGTGCCTTTTAAACAATACTTCCTCAGCCCCTTACCCACCTGACTGCATGAATTTGACTTCTGTTCAGGATTTTGAAAGAAGTGCTGTGGGAAAAGTGAAGGAATAAGGTGACTCAGTCTGCCATCTGCATCCAGGAAACAAAGAGGTGACTCTGAACTAGATCTTCAAGGATGAACATGAGACTTGTCAGCTTAAGAAGAGGAAAATAGCATTCCTGGCAGAAATAATAGCATATGGTCACCGTCTAAGGATGCTAGAATCTCTACACTTTCCCGGTGGACCCGTGTTGTTACCAGTCTACTTGTACACTGGATTCTGATTTGTGTTCTTGAAATATTGACTTTATTATGCCACTCCCTTACTCCAAAATTTACTATAGTTATCCCTGTGTGAGGGATAAAGGTCAAATCTTCAATCTGATACTCAATTCTGTATTTTTATTTAACGGTGAAAATACTTATAATTAAAACTAATCCCCAAAGTGTCTTCCTACCCTTCAAAATGTTATAAATGAAAAGTGATTCTTCTTTAGAACTTCTTCTGAAGTTTCTAAAATTAAGGAGTGAATTTTGTTATGTCTTAGCTAAGGGAAGGTAGGACCGAATTTTCCATTTCTAGCAAGACTGTACACCATGGGGGAGTGTAACTCTTTAAAGAGAAAGCAAGTACTGTTCCTTGAAGAAGAGGTAGTCACCATGATAGCTGAAAGAGCAACATCAAGGACAGGTAACTTGCTTAATGCAGGAAGGAGGAGAGTTATGTTGAGACAGCCCAGAAGATAAATAAATGGTTGAATGTCAGTTGGGAAACTCCCAATTGATGTTCAGTATCAAATCTATCTCACAAACTGTGTTCCTTCTTCTTGCCCTGTTTCAGTCAGTAAGTA